TATCATAAAAACAAAAAGTTTTTTGAGAACGTCTGTTTTTTGGGTTGGCAAAAGGATCAGCAGAAAGAGTTTTTTTAGTAAATAAATTAATTATAATTTATTATAAATTATAAATGATATATGCAAACCTTTGAGAATTCAAGTAGAAAAAAAAAATAATAAACAATGATTAATTACTAGTTATATTATTAATTATACATATATACATATATACTTTATATATATTAATAATAAAAAGATAATATGAATAAAAATTTTAATTTTGGTTATAAAATTTTAATTATAATTTTATATTTAATTATTAAATTAATTATGTTTTATAACTTAAATTTTTAAAAGAATATAATTTAATATTTAACTTATTGCAATTACATATAAGAAATATTGTTTTTTTTTTAAATATATACAGTACTTTGCAATAAATAAATAAATAAAAAAATAATATTTATTTATATTAAAATAATAATAATAATAATAGACTTATATATCTATAGTATAGTAATAATGTTTTATAGATTACTAGGAGAAGGTCTAAGGTTCAAACCTATCTGATTACAAAAATTTATCACCTTTATAATTGGTTAACTGGCTTTCAATACATGTCATACCCAATTAGCTGAAAATTATTTATTAAATCAAATTAGACTGCATGAAGATGAAACCTCTGATCTTTCTAATGATTGTGAGTTGAAAACAGATTGAAATAAAAAAGATTACATGAGGTAAAGCTTCTGATTTATCTTTGGTATAAGCCCATAATCTTAATTGAAATGGTAGATTCTATATTACTATTCTTTTTATTCAGGTTGGCTAATTTTCTAATTTAGGTTATACTCAATTAGTTAGTATCCCAATACTGGATTAGCAAACTCTAAAATTTGATTGGATCTTTATCTCTTTATTTGATTTTGATACAAGTCAGATTGATAATTCAATTGTGAGAAAGAGTTGATTTATAAGTCAAAAAGAAAATCACTAGAAAGGTTTTTCAATTGTTGGTCAGAATTTTTCTTATCTTATATTTACAAGTATAAATCAAGATATGAATCTATCTACTAATGTAAGTTAATATTTTAATAAAAAAGAGTAAGTAGTGTGAGTTAATATTAGTAATAGTTAATGGACTGTTTATGTATAGATAATTGTAGTCTTAATTGATTTAACAATAAAATTTATATATATATCACAACTTAGCTTTTTAAAATAATAATAATAATAATAATAATAATATAAATAATATAATAATAAATAATTTTGTTTAAACTCTTTTCCACTTTTCCTTCTATACTTAAAAATTTCATTTTTAGGAAATTTTTGAGTTGTTTACTTTTTTTTTGTTTTCCTTTTCTTCTTTATTTTCTCTTTCTTATACCTTTTTATTCTTTCTTTCTTATTTTCTTACTTCTTTTTTATATACTCTTTTATATACTTTACCTCTTTTTCTTCCTTTTTTTTTTTCCTTGCCAAAGTTATATTTTCTCTTTTTTCTAAAGGTTTTCTTTCTAGACCCCTCTTTCTTTTATAAAACTACTTTTCATAACATCAACCCTCTGACCAGTTGACTTTTTTTTCTTAAGATCATATTTAAAAGTGATAATTTCTCTCAAGACATGGACTTCGGAATTTTTCTCTCTTCCATAACCTTACAGAAAAAGAATAGATGACTTACCCCCTCCAAAAGATTGATATAATTATTATTATCAAATTCAGTATTATTTACTTGTTAATAGTTAGACTAGGTATATCTAAGAAATTAGTATATAACTATTATTATCCAATATTATTCAAAAATATTCAAGGAGTTGTATTTCACTATATCTAGAGAGATATGGCAATCAATGCTAATGTAACTAACAATAAGCTAGATTGGCATGCAAGTGTTATGTTAATTATTGAAGAAACCTAATAGGATAATATGTAAAAATTAAGGACTTTAGTTAACCTCACAACACAAGCTAATAATAATAACAAAAGTTCTTTGCTTACCCCTTTAACAATATAGGCTTATTGTATAAGGTTAGATATCAATATTTTTAAGAAATATCAATCTCAATACATCTGATATTCTTCTTAACAAACTATTATCTTACATTTAAACTTTCACTATATTTTCTAGTTTCAATTTATTCTAAATTCAAAACATATCTTTTGAAGCTACTCTAATAATAAGTTTAATTGCTGCTTTCCAGTATATAGTTTTAATAATGGATTCAAATAGGGGGTCAATACTAAGTATAGTTGATAAAAGATTAATTTTATATTAGGATAGTTTTGATAATGAAAACAGTTGTTATCTTTCAGCCTTTAGTTCTAATAATAGGTTCAAATAAAGAGTCAATGCTAGATACAAATAGTAAAAGACTGGTTTTACTTTGATATAGTTTGAGTTTAGTATAATATGAAATCAACATTTACTTCACTTGTTATATATCAAGCCATATTTAAAAAACAAATATACCAATTCTAATTATGACTTGGAGGTAAACTTATATATGGTGGCTGTAATGCTTTTATGTAATTAGGTAATTGTTTTTCTCTAGGTAGCTAGATGCTATTTGAGACATAATATAAGTTTTAAAATTCTTTTTTTTATATTCTTGGGTGGTGCCAAAAAATATAGAGAATGAATTGCATTTGTAAAGCTTTGTATTTAACTTTTCTTAATAAAGAAAAATATATATTATATTATATATATGTTATAAATCTTGTACTTGCAAGTCTAAAATTATAATAATAAAATAAAGTGTAATAGCCTTCTGCTTTTTTAAAAAAAATAAAAATAAATAATTTTGTTTAAATTAATTATAATTAAAGAAAAAATATCATTATATTATATTTTTAAATATTATTAATTTGATTTTTTTTTTTAAAAGAATTAAATAAAAATATTTTTATATTATTTTTATTAAAATATTTTTTTTTCAAGTTTTAATTTTTAAATATTTTTTAATATTATATATTATAAAAAATTTTTGAATAAAGTAATTATTATTTATGATAATAAATTTTTAATATAACTAATTATATTTTTTTATTTTATAATTATATTTTTATAAAGTTTTATTTAATAATTTTTAATTACATATAATTATTTTATAATTTTTTAAATTTTGTTATTTTTATAAAAATTAATGATTTTATTATATTAATTTTTAAAATTAAAAATATTAAAAAGTAAATACAGTATATAGGATTTATATATTTTTTTGATTTTCAATTATATTTTTAATATATTAAAATTTTTTTAACAAGTTACTTATATTATTTAATATAAGAAAACTTGACAAGTGATTTTTTGATTTGCTTTGTAAACAAGAAATTTTTTATTTATGGTTAAGATTAAATAATAAAAAATCATATTAAAAAGCTTTTTTTTTTATTTGTTATAATCTTTCTTAATATACTGTAATTATAAATCAAAAAATCTGTACTAGGAAAAAGACTTTATAATACTTAAAATATAATAAATAAATATTAATAAAATAGAAAAATTTGATTTTGCATATACAATATGTTTTATTAATTTTATATTGATTATTAAATAATATATAAAATTTTTCTCGCGGTCAGTCCTGTTTCACTGCATTAATTGATTGAAATTTCCAAGAATGGATAATTTTCACACGGATTCTTCAAGGTCACAAGTTCACCAGTTTCATTGCTCCTGAGACATTCGGATGGCACATCGCCAACGTCATTCACGAGCTCAACTATTGATTGTTGCATGGATGCATCCGATAATTACTGTAACGAACAAGAAAACGATGATGAAACCAATACATATTCGAATATTCCAGAAAACCTCGGACTGCGTTAGTAATCTATTATTTGTCACCATTTGAAATAAAGAAAAAAAGGATGGATCTTGGATGATCCAAGGAATCGATCGAACTCTTCAAGGATAGGCTATCCCAAGAGGCGGATAGGGCATAAAAGATTCTTGCAGTTTGTATGAAAAAATTCACATGTAACAAGGAATACAGTAAA